ATAAAAAGTTAACGATGCGATGCATCGGTTTAAAAAGTGTGCATCGGCTACAAGTTGTCATTTATATCTCGATGCATCATTTCTAACATATTTGCATCGGTAAAAACCGATTTATTTATACTGTTAGAAAGTCATGCAAACATATCCATTTTGATGTCAGGAGTGGGTGAGGCATAGTGAGAGCAACGAGCGCAGCTGCGCGCATGCGCACTAAACAGAAGGAGCGCAATCGAATAGTAGCACAATAATTCTGAGTAAAATATACATTTTGCTAAAACATTTGTTTTTGGACATTAAATGTGTCTTTTGTAGAATTTTAAACCTACATATAAAGTGTATTTTAATGAAAAACTGGGATTAAAGTCCAAAACCTGACTTGAAATAACCTAACAAATCAATCGGGGCTAAAGCGGTTCCATTAAAGACAAATTTAATTCACACAATCTCACTAATTTGTTTATTCTTAAGCAGATCTTGGAATAATGTCGATCATGGATCAAATCGATCCACCATGACAAACAGCGAATATATCTGTGCTGTTTAATGCATTTGAGACGTTGTGTTTTCCTCAGTGCATAACTGACATGTCACAGGTATATTTTTCATCTGTAAATGTTAGAAAGTCATGCAAACATATCCATTTTGATGTCAGGAGTGGGTGAGGCATAGTGAGAGCAACGAGCGCAGCTGCGCGCATGCGCACTAAACAGAAGGAGCGCAATCGAATAGTAGCACAATAATTCTGAGTAAAATATACATTTTGCTAAAACATTTGTTTTTGGACATTAAATGTGTCTTTTGTAGAATTTTAAACCTACATATAAAGTGTATTTTAATGATAGCAGTAACTGTAAGTGGACTATTGTAATGGGTAAATCAAATGTAAGCTAGTAGGCTACAGTATTAATTACTAAGCTCAAATGAGTTAATGTGTGTTTTTTATAGCAGTTAAAATGTAGTCATTTTCTTTATTATTTATTTTCATTTTTAATTCAGTGATTTTAACTTTTAATGTAGTTTTTTTAATGCTTTAAAGAGCAATTTTAGATTGTAATGTTCTAATGGTCTGCTATCTTTTCTGCAAACTATAAAAGGTTGCAGAAATTGCGAAATTTAATAGAGTTAAAGTTTTATCATTTGTACGTGTTTACAAACTCAATTGATTTTAAAACAGTGCAAGAAGAGCAAAGAGCAAACCACAGAACAAACACAGCTTTGACAAAGATTAATCCAAATTAATTTATACAGAGAACACACGCAGAAGAATTGGAGAAACTGAGGAACAGTTTCAACATCTGGAAAAGCGGTTGGAAATTGAAAAGATCCGGGCAGCAATGGTAAAAAATTTTTTTTTAAAAACCTCTCCAAAACAACATTTCCTCACTATAGCTCTCATCTTTGACAAAGTCCATCATTTATTTTAATTATTATATTGAATTTATTACTGAACAATGGCTTGTTAGATACAGAGAGAGCATGAGCTAATTGAATAGAATATGTTTGTCATTGTACAAGTAACGTTACAATAAGATTCATTTTGAAACTTGCAAATTGATAGTAAAGCTTAAGAATACAAATAATAAGTGCAAATAGCTCAGATGTGCAATGCAGCATTAAAACCTAAACAGTACAAACAGAAAACATAATGTAATAAAACGGTAGCGGTGAATTTATTATTCCATGTAACATTTGAGGTTAATGTGTGTACTGGGCTACTTTGTAGTTACAGCAGCTTTCACTGTGTTGTTATGAATTTGAAAGTTGTGCCAGACTATTTTGGAGGCAGAGACAGATTGTGGGGGGATTTTTATATTTTTATTATCTTAAGTTGTTAAACACTCCAGATTTTTTTATCATAATATTTATATTTAAGTGTATTGTATTTATAACATTTTATTTTGTCATTAATTCTTTTGTATTTTTATCATTTTGTATTGTCTTAAGTTGTCCAAGTTGTTAAAAATGTTACTTTTCTTAATAAAAGCTGTATGTATGGATTGCCATTTTGTTGTCTATTAGACTTATATATGTAGTCGTTTAATAGCGGTCTAATTGATGACTAGTCTATTCTTGGGCTATGATTAGACGTCTATTAGATTTTCACTGACAGCCCAAATTTAGCGTTGTTTTAGCCTAGACATCTAGGCTATATTTAGACATCTAATAGACGTCTTGTAAACGCAAAATTGCTTGCTGGGATGTGAGATTCTGGAAACGAGATCTAAATGTAGCGGGAACGGTCGGGTCGGGAAGAAAATTAATCTAAGCGGACAGCGGGTGAACAAAGAGTGAATATATAGGGGGAGCGGGTGGGTGCGGAATATAACCTTGCGGGAGCGGGACTAAAAAAACAGTCCCCCGCAGACCTCTAATGCACATCCCTAGCCTACAGTGATTGTGGAACACTGTAATAGATCATTATTAACTGTATTACGTAACCCTCTAGTGGTTATAAAGTGTAAAAGCCGATGGCGCTCCATTATATTCCGAGTACAGCCAAACCTTTATAAAAAAGTGCTGTATTCATTAATGGAAAAACTTGTTACAGCAGTTTAGTACAATTCATGTTGTGGTATGAAAAAAATCTTAGGATTACTTATTCAGTAAATCATTATTTGGGTGAGAAGTAAAAGGGTTATGAGCAAATAGACTTTATTACATGGCATCAGATATGTTTTCAAAGCAAGCTAAAATCAGTATCAAACATACCTAAACATTGCCAGATTTGTATTTGGGTTATATGAGGGAGAAAACACAAATTAGTGTTATAAAGTCAGCCAAAACAATGCTTTCAAAACTTGAGACAATGACACTTTAAACAGTCAATTCTTACAACAAATACGTAAATGATATATGGTAAAATCCCCCACCAAAGAAAAGAATTAGCATGTAAATACTTATTCAGATGTGGAGTTCATGGTACAAGCTGTCAAGGAAAGTCACATTTCCCAGAGAAAGGTGTGGAACAGCAAGGCCACAGCTTGAGATGTGGAAACGAAGGCAAATTCAGTCCAGAAACGCACAGACAAGATTAGAAATAGGAGTGTTATCAACTGTAGACAAAATACAAAGCCTTTCCTTTTGAGTCAAATTAAGATGGCTGCTGGGTGAAACTACAATCTAGAAAGTAAAATGCCTAACTTCAGGACACAGAGATGGTTTATTAATTGTGAGGCTGAATCTCTTCAATTCGGCGCTCAGGTCACCAGAAACAAGCAACCTTTGGTGTTCATTTGAGAACACCAGAGCACCCCGTCTATATGCATTCTGCCAATAACAAAAAGCTGAGTCACTTTGCACAAACATTGTGATCCACTAACAACCCATGGCATCATACAGTCTTTTGCAGGTTCATAGACATTCAAAAGAGTTCATTGCGCAACTCTGGGTGTAAATAATGGCGACAGGTTATACCTGCTTTTTCCTAGAGGAGTCAGAGAGACATTGCTCTCTAAAAAGGGGGAAAGTTAACAACCATGACAGAATTATAATCTTATAATCGAGAGATTTCTCAGGTGGTCACACATGGCGCAGAGATTAAACTACAGATGATTAACTAGTTTTAGCTGTCAGCAAGGCCCTCTAAGCAAAGTGCTCATTCAAAGGGTAGGCGATTTGTCAACAGTCCATGTTATGTAAAAGTCTAAAATGAGCATATACATTTCTGCCACTGCCATTCACAAGTGTCTATACAGCATCCGATCCTTCATTGTGTTAAGTAACAAATATTATATTACACCTCCACCAGAAGACCTGCGAGTATGTGAATATGGACAGGGTACATTGAATCATTCTTGTGTGGCAGCTGAGACAGATGTTCCGACTCCCAGATGTGCTCTCTGTAATTAGGTCTTCTTCTTGAGTTCTTCAAAGCGTCGTGACAGGTCGTCAAAGTCAATGTCATCAGATGTGTTGGCGTTCGCTCCGAAGGAGGAGGCTGGGAGTGTGTCGGGAACAGATGGAAGTTCAGGAAGGGTAGAGTTGTCATAGATCTGAGCAGACGGGGCTGGGCCTGGAGAGAAAACAGAGCTTTTAGAAAGAAAAACATCATAACGCAAGCGATTAAAAAAAATGATTCAATCATATTAGGACAGAGCACATACCTGGGATGACCTGGGAAGGATTAGAGGGTTTGACAGACAACTCATCGATCTTAAAAAACACATGAAAACATGTTAACAACTTCTCATACATACATGGCAACTACTGCAAATAATCAATACTGCTATATTAATACTGTGAAGAGTTAGAATTATGAGCCGTGCACCGTTAGAACAGACCCCCGTAGTGAGTCAATGCAGCGAATGTGTGGACACCTGGGGCCTCGTTTATAAAGGTGTGCACAGAACGATCCGAAACGTGAAAGTACAACAATTTCCAAAATGTTCCTACAAAAAAAATGTCTAAAACGTCCATACACAAAGAACTTTAGACATTTGCTAAATGCATCACACTTTTTAAAATCGCAGTTTACCTTCAATTCAAATGCAATATGAACAAGCACATCAACTCAATCTACAGAACACCCACAAATATCCCTATATGGTTCAGAAGACACACATATTGTTTTTTTGAAGGAAATTACATACAATTAATGAATTGCAGCTGCTTT